TTATTTCAAGTTCACGGCGAAACCGAATATGCAAGCATTATGGCTGGCAAATACAGAATAGTTTGTGTCCTATTCTATTCCATTAACATAAAAATAAAAAATAAAAATTACCTCATGAATCCAATCAGTGAGTAGTGCTTCACATTCGGGTTTTGTACTCATATCCTTATTCTCGAAATTTACGATCATACGAGTATCGTCCATCTGCAAATGAATGAATAAGCAACGAACAAGATTCGGGTGCGATTAAAAATAGTGATGACCTCTTGTTGTGTGATAAGTGGTCGTTGGACAGCATCAGCAATCACTGCGAGAACATCTCTGACACCGTCGACGTGGCACGATGCCGCATAGATGAACGTGTCTTTGGTTGACTGACAATCGATTAGCGCACCTCGTACTTCTAGGATCGAGAACATTTCCTCTTTTGACGCGTACGAGGAAGTTGTCTTAATTATGCACATCGATTACTTCTTGAAAGCAATTCATTTAGCATCTACTACTGCTCATATCATACTGCGGCCAAATAATACATACTCCACAAGCAACAGGACATTTTGAGGCTGAGAAGATCAATTCTGGATATGTGAATGTCCTGGATTTACAAAGATAATTCCCAACTGATTTACAAGAATACTCACCGAAAATGCGAGCTTCTCAACGAAATGTGAAGTACCAGACGGATATCCCACTTCGTAGCGACAACCCGAATCGATAGAAACTGCAGAACAAACATTATGAACTGCCAACAAAATGAACACATTCGCAAACGTTAGACTGTTTTTACGCCTTCAAGTTGAGTCCTTCAGAATAGGTTCAAACCAGAATTTCTTCTTGGTGCTCCGTCGTTTTCAAGAACGTGCTTTGCCTTGAACAATAATTCTAATTTATCAAAAAATAAAATTGAAAATTCATAAGATGAAGTATCAACCTCCAATAGTACAGTATTGACCATAATGTGGCTCGGACGCTACTCTCAAGCCGTTTTTAAGTGTCGTTAATTTGGTATCGAACGGTTCTATGTGTTTGTGACCAGCGTAGGCAACCTTGGAGAGGCCAGGAATCGGTTCAGTCAACGGTATCCGATTAATATCGACCGTTCCCTAAAATACTCAAATCCTCGCAATTAATCAATTTTCACATCAAACTCCTCTGAGCATATTTTTCATATTTATTTTCTAATGCTCCAACGAGCTCTAACCAATGTCCACCTANNTTACTGTGAATTATGAACGAAGCACAGTGTAATGAAATTGTTCACATGGTTTATTTACTTTCTTGCGTCATCAATTTGTTAAAATGAGATGACTAAAAAGAAATAAACATCAAACAAGCACTAACGTCATTTCTGAGCGGACTGGCTGTGGCTGTTGCAAAATTCAGTGACGATCCTTTATTCTGAGTTGCATACCAACGTCTAAAATGCAAAAGAAATTATGGAACGTAACAATTTGGTCGCATATTTTTGTCATTCAGAATGGCGATCGCTACTTCTGAATAGTCTATTTGAACGTGATTAAGGCAGTGAGCAATGAATACAATAATTTGTAATCTAGCTCCACTTCGATTAATAAAAATAACAGTGCCGAACGAACAAACCTTCTAGAGTGTGCTCTGATCAAACGTGCAATGCTCTGGGAGCGTTGACGCCATAGTTGTGAGAGCATCTGAATTTCGATTATAAACTGATAATTAAAGGTAATAAACCGCAAAAACGACAACTGTCAAACACGTCAAAAGTAAACGTTCGAACACCCTGAATATTTGATATATTGACCGTTGCGAGCATCATGACACGTTGCTATTAAGCATTTAAGAAAGAACTGCATTTCTTTAGTTAGACTGCACAGACAGACCGTTGGATAAGTGAGATGAATCAAATCCATTTCATCACTCAAAATGATACATATGAGAGTCAAATAAACTGGTTTTTTTGGTTATAAATTTGGCGAAACAGCAGTTTATCAATAACTATCAGTGATCCAAAAGCGGAAATTTCAAAATTGCATGAAACACGATTGCCGTGAATAATGACTTGAATCCAGAGATTCACCACCACTACTAGGAGATGTCACGAAATGTTTCGTGAATACTGGGAATCGTGCCCTCAAGAAAAATGACGTTTCGTTAATTCAAGCTTGTTCGGATTGACAAAATCCGAGATATTGCCATTCAATGTCAATGAATTATCAAGAACATGCTACCCCAAACTCATGATGTTCACATCGATCATCTCGCTTTACCGTTTCACCTATAATTGCTTCCAACTAAAGTGGTGTTTATGCACTCATCCACACATGCGTTCCGGTTGGAGGAGAGTGCAGTAGCGACCGACCGTGTCGTGCAGAAATGAGATGGACATAGAGAGTCTAGAGTGATTACTTTGAGAAATTTCGCTCGGGATCCGAAACTCCGATTCCAGTCTAACAATAAAAATGCTGGAATTCGGTCGAAATACGAAATGTTTGGAATCGCAAAAGTGTGAATTAGGTCGGATTCCGACGCAGCAATTTTCAAGTTCAGTCAGAATAGCAAAATTTTAAAGTGCCACGATCTTCATGAATAAGTGATATTCACAAACGCTTCATGTAGCATATTTGATGAACTGTCTGTTTAAAAGCTGATCATTAAACGCAGATTTGAGTGCAATCAAACGAAGAATGTTCTCTACGCAGTCAGCAGACAATACTGAACGTCAACACTACCGTTATAAAGCACCTCTGTTCAAAGATGAACGTTGTACGTTTGAGCGTATCGAAAAATTTATCTCAAACGAATATTTCGTTGATTGCAATCTACGCGGAAGATTGTACGGCTCATCAATTCCAGTGCAAATAAAACATTTGGATTTTGGTCACAGAACTGTCTCGTTCAATGAAGCCGTCGAGGAACTTACCAAAAAAGGTATTGCCATCCAAAATATTCATGTTGCAAATCTTTTAGAGGTAACTTTAAACAATCGAATAAGAAAGGATTAAAATTTGACGACTGTTTGCAACTATTATATTGGGATTTGAGTGTTTCATAAGAAATGAGAAAATATCTCAACAGTACTGCATCATATAACAGAAACGTCATTGTGCGATGAACTCGAATAAAAGCAGTATTAGTGAATAGAACAGGTGTTCATTGAAATGAGGCAATTCGGTTGTGATGGGATAAGTATCAGTATTAATAAACCATCAGCTACACGTCATGAAATGATCCTTCACATATGTTGTTTAAATCAAATTGAGGTGAATCCGTGGATAAAGATTTCACGTTTGGTCCGACTTGGTCAACACACTGGTTTCAAGTTGACACAGACATACCGAAGAAATGGCATAAGAAGGATTTGTTGCTCAGATTCGATACGGGTTGTGAAGCGCTAGCGTGGAACTTGAATGGAACGCCCATTCAAGGTTAACTCATTGAACTGGTTATAATTCAAGGCATTCGACGAGTCAATGAAATCAGATTCAAAGAAAACACAAATCTGAACTACTTAAACTGCTTCACTCAATGGATTCAACCAATCAATCGCTCTTGTATTCAGCAATCATTTCTAAATTACATTCCGATGAATGAACAAATCTTCAGGGATATCGCCAAGCGTCAACAGAATTGCCATTCATATCAATTCCACTCCGTCACTGCAACGTTTCTTTGTTGAAGCATCCGCGAATGATCGCAATGGAGACGGTGATGCTGGACAAATAAGACCTGCGAAATTGGATAAACAATTCCAAGTAATCCGTGATTGAAACATGTCATGACCTTTTGAAGATCGTTAACATTAAGACATTAGCATTCCTGAAGAATGATAAACAAATGTGAGGGTCTGTTGAAATGGCCGTAAATGAAATGTGATAACCGCAATTTTCAGATAAAATTAGCAGATGTAGTTGAATACGATAAGCTGGTCGATGAATTGCTGATTGATTTTGAGTTATTACTCGAAATGGCGAATTATTTACCAAAAGAAGGTGCGAGACGTTATGAGGCATTATATCAAGCCAATGATATGGTTTGTTATTTTAGCGTTCAATTGATCCTGCTGGAAAATTACATAAATTGTGTGCCATCTGGAATATTTTCATTTAATTCGATATTTTTCAGAATCAACGCCGACTTCAAAAATTTCATTGTTGCTCATGGTACCGCCATAATCATACAGATGGATTTATGTGCATTTCAGATAAATCAATTAATTCACTGCAAATTCTCGGTTGAATCCAAGAAGGAGTGTCACCAAAGAGCGTTACAGTTTTTCAAAGAAGCCAATGGTGCGAGTCAACTAACGTTGCATGCAATTGGTAATTGCCATATCGATACTGCGTGGCTATGGCGGTTCGTCATTTCATACCACGTACCGTTCTCCATTCGTACACGTAATTTTGTGTCAGATATCAGCTTGCTTACAGCTTTGATGAAACGAAACGAAAGTGCGCTCGAAGTTGGTCAACTGCGTTATCGTTAATGGAACGTAACGACAAAATCACTTTCGCTGTTTCTCAAGCACAACAGGTACAGAATTATTTTTAAAGTACATATTCCCAAATGGTGGATCGCTTGAATTTGCCTCATCGGCTCTCAACCCTACTCAACAATTTTTATTCTTGCATTTGATAACCTATGAGGATAATGATAATTCCTAACAAAGTCAACTAGTAAAAAAGTTCTGTGTTCATGAATAAGTGAGTGAAATTCCGAACGTATACACTGGAAAACTGTTGATGCGTTGATGATAATATGAACTAATAATAGTAATGCAGTTGGTTTGGATCCGGAAGCATTATNACCTATGAGGATAATAATAACTCCTAACAAAGTCAACTAGTAAAAAAGTCCTGTGTTCATGAATAAGTGAATGAAATTCCGAACGTATACACTGGAAAACTGTTGATGCGTTGATGATAATATGTACGAATAATAGTAATGCAGTTGGTTTGGATCCGGAAGCATTATCCGACCATTTATGAGGATATGCAAGATCGAGCGGCAGATGGACGATTGATGGGCGTTGGGGGGAGTTGGGTGGAGATGGACGCGAATATGCCGAGTGGTGAGAGTTTGATACGGCAGATGTTGTACGGACAACGCGAATTGAAACGAATCTTCGGAAAGTGGGTTCGTGCAGTGGTAAAGTCAAGAATTCATGCACGCAGTTGTTCAGGTACTCGACGGTGTTCTGGCTGCCTGATACATTCGGATATTCAGCACAATTACCACAACTGATCAAGCACTGCGGCATGAATTATTTCGTAACCCAGAAAATGAGTTGGTCTTTAATTAACAAATTCCCACATCACTCGTTTCGTTGGTTTGGTATCGATGGTACTGATGTGCTCGTTCATTTCCCACCGCATCATTATGTGGCGCAGGTGTTTTGAAGATTAATATTATCACATCAAACTTCCAATCATAGGCTATCTTTTGAATTATTCGCAGTCTTCTGCAAATATCCTCTAGAACTGAGGTGTTCATTTTGCTTATGATATATTAATTAACGAGCAAGAGAATATCCGTGATGGGATAAAATTTTTGACGCTGAATTCAATCAGTTGGAAAGGTGCTGTCACTAAGTTGGATGATAGCAAAACCATCAAATGCTGTACGTGAGCAGCGCTGACCCAGTCTTTAAGAGTTGTTGTACAGTAAAAGATGATAAGTGATCAAAAGTATTCTAGCTGCACACAAGTCATAAGGTGTATTGAATGAATGAAGAAATAAATAGTTAGGGGTTATGTTCATGTGGTATGTAAATTGAAGATAACCGTGAAAGAGTGCTTGGAATCATTGTGGAATTTTACGGATCGGGGACGTTCAAAGATAGCGATGATGCTCTATGGACACGGGGATGGTGGAGGTGGGCCCGATGAGAGTATGCTGAAAAGGGCTGATCGTTTGGTGGACTGCGATGGTGTGCCGAAAGTGAAGCATTCAACACCAGATGAATTCTTCAGTGAGGTGCGTGCTGCTCTTTTGCACTTCCAACCGTTTGGGTGTGCAGTTCGTTTTAAATTTCATGACAACCATTGCACTGTATGGACGCATTTTACAAATATCATTTTAAAATTTCGACCGTATAACTGAGTGAATAGCGGCGACATTTTAGCTGGAGAAAGATGTTGATAATTTGTGTGAATGGAGAGGGGAGTTGTATTTGGAATTGCATAATGCCACTTATACGACTCAGTCGAATATTAAACGTCTGAATCGAATCTTGGAAAGTATTCTCAGAGATCACGAATTCGTTCAGGTTACCTTCTTTGGATTTATTATTATTATGATTGAAATTATTGGTATGGTCGTTGTTATGTGCAGATGTTTCATTGTATTTCATGTTATTGTTATGATTTTAGGCAATGATACGTCTGGAAGGTGGTCATGCACGTTCTTTAAGCGATGAATGGAAGGATTTGTTACTGAATCAGTTTCACGATGTACTCCCAGGAACGTGTATAAAGGAGGTTATTGAAGACGCATTGAATATATACGATCAACTGCTCGAAAAACTAACTTTCGATAACGGAAGTGGACTGAAAATTTTTGGTTACGCTTTATTTCAATTCATTTCGCTATAATTTTGCTTGAAATTTTTCTTGTTCAAGTTTATATGATTTTTCGATTTTTGATGACTGTATGTACCAAAATTAACACTTTTTGTACTCGCATGGAATAATCAGTTTGGTTCCATCACAACAAAAATTCAATGATCATTCTATAACCGTTTAAAAATATGATTAACAGTATGATTAGTAATGATAATATACTATTTGATTACTTAAACCAATAGGAATGCATATAAATTACTGGACAATAAAAGATTGTCTGAATAGGTTGTCATAAATAAATATGAACGAGGAAGAATAATGTAGACGAAGACGGTTGTCATAATTTAGATGAAGAATCAACTGGTGAGCCAGTGACCAAATATGTGGTGAACAGTTGTGG